GACTAGTATACTTGCTATTTTTGCATGTTGTAGTAAACACGCATCACTTGACATACTAGTTTGCCTCTGCCAGCACCTCTGCCTCGACCTCTGCCAAATGATTTATAACCAAATGCTCTATAAAGTGGAAAGGCAACACCAATAGGTCCTCCAAAATGACTCTAATGTGCAGAGGGAAAGAGTGAATCAGTGTGTGTAGCAGGAAAGGAATAGGCTAGATAAGTTAGAGCAGAGTAAGCAGTTGGTGCTGATGGATAAGCTGATGAGTAAGTTGATGAAAGATGAACTGGTGCTGGAGGCAGAGTGTTCGTCAAAGCAAGTGCATGGTGCACTGTGTGGAGACCTCTAGCAACATCATTAGGATTTAGAGATCCCTTTGTACCAATAGACAACAACGATGAAGCATTAGGATTATTGAGAGATGCCATATGCATTGAACTGTTTGGAAAATCAACGCTATTAAACTTCTCAAGTCTCATCTCATATTTCTAGAGCAAAAATAAAGCCTCTTGTAGAGACACTGAGTCAAATTTAGACTCAATCCGAGATGTTAAATTGACTACGACAACGTCAAACTCTGGCCCAAGGCCATCTAACACATATTGAAGAAGATCTTCATCACTTATCACCTGACCACTTCCCGACAGATTCTCAGTAAAGCTCTTCATTTTCTTGACAAATTCACTAACACTTATACTTCCTTTCTGAGTGGTTTGAAGTAAATTCCTTAGGTGAAGTGCTCTTGCTTTGAAGTCAGTAACAAACTCATGTTCAAGATGATACCAAATTTCAGTGGCAAATTGACATTTAGAGATGTTACTAAACATACACTCAGAGATAGACGCAAGAAGCCAAGTAACAAGAAATTTATCAGTCTTCTTCCATGCTACATAAGTTGGATTGATTTTTTCCTTAGTTAGGGTTTCACTTGATTGAGTTGAACTATCATTATTAGAGACAATTATAGGATCAGGACATGGAATTGAACCTATTAGATGGTCTTCCAGTTCATGAGCTCCAATAGCTGAGAGAACTTGAGATCGCCAGAACCTATAGTTATCCTTGTAGTTGTCTCTGGTCAGTTTCAGTGTGATTACTTGCAAACGAGATGAAAAAATTGAAGACTGGGCTGAGCTAAGATTCGCCAGTTTCTCCATAATACTTTGTTTAAAACGAAGAACCAGGATTCTTAGCTGTAGACGTGTGTCTTTAGCTCTGATACCATGAGAGATTCAAAGAGAAAACGAAAAAGAATGGAGCAAATATGTGTAACAGTAATTTTATTTCTATTTTGCTAACTGATACAAGAGGAAGACTGCTCTCTTTTATATGAAATGAGAGAGAGAGTCAAAACGACACCGTTACAAGGACAAGTGGAATTTACAACTTTACCCACTTTGACTCTTTTTAGCTTTGGTCAACACTTCTCTCTCCTGTTTGGGGCTTCTTCTTCTTCTTCATTTAGGCGAACAACCAACTATATATAATATATAATTATATATATTATATATATTATATATATATATTATATATATATATATATATTATATATATATATATATATATATAAAAACAGTTTTCTAAAATTATAAATCTGCCTCCAAATTCTCTTAATTCTAGTCTAACCCTGCCACATAAGCTTCTTCTTACAAAAGTGTCTAGATTTTTCCCTCTTGATACATGCAAACTCATCAAATTATTTCTTTTGTTTTCACCCCTTAACGCAACTTTAAAAACTGACAAAAAGCCCTTTCTACAAACAACCGTAAAATAAATAGCAAGAGAAGTAAATAAATAAATAAAATTCATGATATAACTAAATTGAAATGGGGTTTTACATGAGTTATTCTTGTATATTAAAGCCTTTTCAGTAAAATAATATGAGAAAACTCTTTTATATTTTCTTAACTGAACAACTATACAGTTTTCACTCCAGCTCTTCTTTAATAAGCTCTACTCAACAATGTTGTGCCAAAGGGACCCGAATATAGTTGAACCTTTAATGATAGGAAGAAATGTTTATTTTCTTTTAAATTTAGAATTTTATCTCGTAAATATTAAAAATACAACTTTTGTTTTGATGTTACTTGACAATAGTAAACTTATTTTTTTTTTTTTTTTTTTAGGTAACTAAGGTATTTAGGCCCACATTGGAGTCAGCCTAATCCTCAGGGCTGCAGAACACCCTACAAGTTAATAGACCAAAATAATTGCACAAATGTGGTAGATAACTCTCATATGACTCGAACAAAAGACCCCTTGAGTATGGCTAATCCCCATGACTAAAAGGTTTGCCATCCGACCACAAGAAGTGACAATAGTAAACTATTGATTGTAACTAGAACCAATAAACATGATTGAGTTTAAAACAAAAAAATATTGATGTCCAAATTATATTAGATTTGGACGATTGAAATTAACTGATATTAAAGAATGAGACATCGTATACCTAATTTGATTCATTGATAATAATAGTTTAAAATACCTGAAATTATGGAGACTTATTTAATTAAGTATTGAATAATATTAATATAATTAATTAATTAATAGAGTTAATGACATGTTCCCACCCAAAAAATGGTCCATTGACAAATTCATACCCACCAACTTTTTAAATACCTTCTTACTACCTAGAGCAAAAGTCTGTTAACCATTTTCATTGTGATAAAGAGTACTATGGTCATAAGACATTTGTAAGTAAGGGTAAAATGGTCAGTTAACTATTAAAGTTCATTTAATCCACTTCAAAATCTTCATATCACAGAATTAATCAAGGTCTAAAGTAGCATAATGATATCTCAGTAACACATGGAATGTCATGTTAACTAAAATTTAACCAAATAATAATGTTTAATTATCTCACTATAATATCATTCCATGTTACCAGATATCATTACATGACATAATTAATATTACCATTATGGTTGTATTGTATTGTATATATCGCGGAATTAGTATACGAAAAAATTCTGGTATTTTTTTGAAATAATTTACCCCTACATGTGTTGTAGAAATATTCATATCCCTATGTGAGCGATATTGAAGTATGACAATGACTATATCAATGCGTGCATAACATCAAACTAGTGTTAGGAGCCACACACTATGATTTAGCATGCATGATGTTGCTACTTAGGCCAATTCCAATTACAAATATTTAATAGAGTAAGGCTACACCGACAACCTCTTCTCATAGCCTCGACGTGGGAGCTCACAATTGGTCAGTCACAATTTATCAATTGAGACCCATTATGAGCTATCCAATTGCGAGCTGCCACGTCGAGATTGTGAGAGGAAGTTTGTGAGAAGAGGTTGTGGGTGTAGTATTTTCCTATTTAATATGTACATATATGTCTCTTTCCTTAAAAAAATAAAACAATAAAAAATAAATAAATAAATTCTTGTACTAATCTTAACCAAGTTGTAAAAGAGCAAAAGAATATCTAATATGGTCTCCCAAATTCGAGTCCCCTTAATGGTAAAAGAGTAAGAAGATAATCTAACATGGTTTCTCGAGTTCGAGTTTTTACAATTGCTAATAGGGATAGCGAAAGTTTGAGTCCCCACGGTTGCTAATAAGGATGACCACTGGAACTCATACCTCGCTAGTAGTTCCAAGGTCATAGAGGATTAGTTGAGTTGTGTGCAAACTAGTTTATTCAAGTCCCCACTGTTACTAATAGGGATGGCCAATGAACCTCTAACTCGGCCAATAGTTTCAAGGTCTTAGAGGATTAGTTGAGGCACGTGCAAGCTGGCTTGTTCGAGTCCCCACAGTTGCTAAAAGGGGTGGTCACTAGAGCTCTTACCCGACCGGTAGTTCCAAGATTTCAATGGATTAGTTGAGATACGCACAAACTAGTCCAAACACCCATTGTCATTACAAAAATAAAAAATAAAAAAAAAAAGGGTTGTATTTAATATCACTTGTCATGGACCGACTTACATATTGATGAGTAAGAGCTGGTAACCCCATTTGGTTTGACCTTTTATTTGACTATCCTGTATTTGTATTGAAATTTTTAGAATTTACTCCACTGATTTTCTTTTCCTCTACTTTCTATTATATTATTCTGAATTTGTCTCCTTTAAAATTAATTTATGGGTCTGTCCCTGTCATTTGGCATTATTATACCAAGAAAAGAGAGATCTTGGGTAAACTAGGAGCCACGAATTCTGTAACCAACAAAATAAAAAATAAAACAGTGATTCCAATGTTTTTTCATTTAAACTACAAATTGAACTCAGCTAAGAAGTGATAGTTGAATATTGAAGAAAATGGTTAGTTTTAGCCCTATGCTGGCTTGGCAGCAATTAGATATTTCACAATGAACTAACTCCGGAAATTAAGGCGTGAATTTAGGTAAGGTTTTCGATTAACGGTCTTTTCCTCCAAAACAATATAAATATAATCCAAGAACTGTTTGACACACACCCTCTCATTGGCTGATTTGATCATAGCTCTAATTCACAAAAAACAAAACTTCAGAAATAACAATAACTCTCGCTCTTCTTTCTTCTTTCTTCTACAAGAATATTTTCCGAAATATCAGTTCGCTTCTTTAGAATTCTTCGAACATCATATCAAGAAAGACATAATGACAGATCGAGGGAGGTGAAAATAATTGAAAAAGGAAAAAGAAACTGAATTTTATTCCCCAGGAAGAATTCGTGAACTATCAATAAGGAATGGTAGAGCCTTTATTTATGATAGATGATTCTAGAAATTTAAGGCCACATTATAACAAAATAGAAAATATCTTATCGATGAAAATGATTAAAAAATAATAATTGAAATTTAAAAAATATTAATTGAAATTTATATATACTTTCAGAAATAATAGGGTACTTATATTTGTAAACCAAATAGAATTCCTAAAATAAATGGAAATGCAACTCCTAATTAATTAATTAGAAGATAAAAGATATATAATAAAAAAAACTTAACCATAATTTTTCCTCTTTGTTTAATTGAAAGTTGAAGCAACGTCCAGTGAAACATGGCATTCCCATCAGGGTATAGGTTCAACCCAACTAAAATCTTGAAGAATGCTTTGCCTTGCAACATCATTCAAGAAATTAATCTTTATGATTATCATCCTCAACAACTATACAGTTTGTCTTCTTTAATTAATTTTATCTTTCCTTTTTCAAGTTTCTCTTCATTAATTTTTGTTATATTTTCATGGGTTTAATTCTCTTTTTCCTTTTCAAGTTGATTTCTTTCTGTTTTAGTGCATTATTTTGTCTTAAATAATCTTCCTTGATATTTTAATTTAATGAGTTAGAACATGAAAATTAATTAAAAAAAAAAAAGAATTCAAGACCGCTTCTCTTCTTTGATTTCATAAATTACTGTTTAAATTCATAATTATCGTATGTTGCATCTTTGAGTTTTCTAATTCTATACGAGTTTTCATTGGAAAAACAGGAAATTAAAAGAATTCCCGGAACTTGAACTGAGCTTTGAAGCCGCCCTACTAATTGCCCCTTTTCTTTGATTTTCTTCTACTACTTTAGCTCTTTAAGTAAACTGTTTTTAGTAAAAGATCAACTTTAGTTCTTTCAGATTAACATTGAGAATTTTACTTTCCCGGCTGCAGGGAATTTCGCATTCCCACCAGGGTATAGGTTCAACCCAACTGACGAGGAGTTGGTGGTTCATTACTTGAGCAACAAAGTCTTGAACAATGCTTTGCCTTACAACAATATTATAGAACTTAATCTTTATGATTATCATCCTCAAGAACTATATGGTTTGTCTTCTTTAATCGAATTATCTTTCCTTTTTTTATTTATTTGGTTTTACTTTGTCTAGTTTCTCTTCATTAATTTTGTTTATCTTTTCATGGGTTTAAAATGTTTTTCCTTTTTCCTTTTCTTCTTTTTTGTGCTTTGTTATTCAATATATCTAAATTGTTGATCTTGTCTTAACTTATCTTTTCAAGTTTAATTTTCTTTTACGTGGATCCTTAGGGCTTCTTTCCGTTTAGGAAGTATGTTTAATAGTTTCATTCTTGTTAGGTTTATTTCAAAATAAAAAATAAAAAAAATACAAGATTGCTCCTCTTTAACTAAACCCTAAATTGGCTTCCACGCGGTTTCATCCGTGGAAAACACAACAATTTTTCGTTGGAAAAACCGGAAATTAGAAGAATTCCCAGAACTTGAACTGAAACTAAGGCCCCTTGACGGCAAAAACTTTGAGGCCGCCCTACTAATTGCCCTTTTATATCACACACACACACACATCTTGTTATAAGCAAATTTCTCCACACTGTTAACGATGTGCAGTGATCCCACCCAGATCAATATTCTACAACTATGGTTCTTCTTGTTCTTCATGGACTCCTCTTGACAAAGACTTGAAGAAAACAAACATTTTTATTTCTCTTTTTGAACCTTTTAAGAGGACATTGGAACATAATTCAGTTATCTATAGCATCTTCTAACCGGCTAAACCCTTTTGGGTTCATTACGATGTGTTCTTTATGTCTCAGCAATCTAACAAGTTATTTTTTTCTGATTTCTTGCTTTAGCTTTCTGACTGATCTTTGTTTGTACGGATTGTTTGTGTAAAAGAAAGTTAATCAATACTATTGTTTGTGTAAAAGAAAGTTAATCAATACTTTTATAAACTACAGTGATATCAATGTATGCATGGAGGACTAACATTAATGATTTATGTTTTTATAAATTTGGTGAGAACAGATTTGCACATGAGACAAGGAGAAACCGCCATGTACTTCTTCTCGCCAAGGGAACGAAAGTACCTACATGGGAACCGTCCGAAACGAAAGGCTGGCGAAGGATATTGGAAGGCTTGCGCCACTAGTTCTCCCATCAAAATAAACAATATCAAAGTAGCAAGCAAGAGGGTTTTAGTTTATTATAACGGGGACAATAAAAATTCAACAAAGACTAACTGGATCATGTATGAATATGTAATGGAGCAACATAGCATTCCTGCTGTAAGTAAGCCTAATTTCAACAAAAAATCTCAGATTGCTTCGAGCTCAAGTGCCGTTTCTGTTGACAATAATATGAAGGTAAAAATATCATTCATCAATAAATGAAATTTGTGTCAGTTTTCCGTGTTTAAAATAAATGTTCTTTGATTGATAAAAACCCTAATATAAAGTTCAATTACTTTTGATTATTTGGACAGTTGGATGATTGGGTATTGTGCAAAGTCTATGAGAAGGGATGCAAATCAAAGGACAAGAATGAAGAAACTAGTAGTAAAGTTAGCTCTGAGCTTCAAATTCAAACAAACGCTGATAATTCTACTTGTTCTACAGCTTCACTGCAGAAAAAAATTGATGAAATCAATTCAACACATCATCATACTTATGATCAGCATGTAGGTTGTCACAACTTTGCGCCTCAATTGGTGCAAGGGACTCTTCAAGATCAATTTTGTTTCAACCATTCTGCGCCTCCAACAGAGAGTATTCATCAATGCAATATGAAAATTTGTCCTCGCTTGATGCTGCCGATGATTGAACATAATTTCGGTTCTACTAGCGATTCATTACCGATGCAGACAACTGGTCATAATTTTAATGCTTTCTCTACCAATTTTGCTCCTGGGACACAAAATGTGCATCGTTGTTCGCCTTCTTCTATAATACAACCAACTGGTGGATCTCAGTACATTCCTTCTACCAGATCCCCGCAACTATTTATGGAAATAGACGATTATGGCTGCACCGACATTTTGCCTATGCCTCTGATGCAAAAGGAGTTCAATACATCAAATTATGTTGGTTCCAGCAGCTGGGCGCCTGCAATGCAAGGAACAAATGGAGGTGATGCCACGGATAGTGGTGAATCTACCAATTTAGTGCAGATTCATGTTGCCGGTTCTGGCAGCTCTGCACCTCTAGTACAAAGAACTGATGATCAATGCATCGTGGCCACCTCTGAGCCTATTCTTGATAATTCTGCATCAGTCTTTCCTCCTTTTGATGAGTGGCATCCTCCTGATCTTCCTAGTTTTGAAGAAAAGAAACCAGATAGTCATAAATGGCTAGCATAGTAAACTTAGTATGGAATTAGAGTAGTCATGGTCTTCTTCTTTTTATTGATTGTTACTTTATTAGTTGCATGCAAATATATATATATAAATTCCATTTGTTAGACACTTTTTACAATGGTATTTTGAAAAAAGTTGAGTAAAGTTGTATTTAATAGAATAGGATTTGAATTTGAAAATGTGTTTAGTATATTATTTGAATATTATATTAGAGTTAAATAAATTATTGAATAATTGTTTGGTATATTTTTTCAAAAAAGATTTTGGGATAAAAGATTTTGGTGCATTTTATTAAAAAAATTATTATTTGATTCCGAAACTTTTCAATTTACATTTAGGGTAATATTAATCAGTTGTTTGGTAATTTTTATATCACTAAATTAAAAAGAAATTCTCCATAATAATTTCAACTACTAATACATGCATTATTTAAAAATATGGCATTAATATATATATAAATTAATAATACGAAGCTACTTTATTTTGATAATATATTTCCATATTTATAGTTGTGTGAAGTCATGATCTAGAAAAAATAGTTGAGAATATCTAGCTAAACAATAGTTTAATTAATGTTAGATTACATAATATCTAAAAGATTTAGAAATGCATCCAATGAACTTAAATCTACAAATGTCCAAATCTAGCTAATTGCCCAACTTTTTTTTTTTTTTTTTTAATTTAGTGTTGAGATATATTCTAACTAAATACAATCTAAACTTTAATATTTAATAAGGTTGCAATAAATAATAGATTTAATGACATTAATCCTCATGAGGTATGATATAATAACAAAAATACCTTTGAGGTTTCAAGAAAAAAAGTCTCATTGCCGTTAAATTTTAGATGTTAAAATAAATGGTGTATATATATATTAAAAGGTAAATTAGTCAAAAACTATATTTAAAAAGACTAATTCACCACTAATTATCCCCTTATGACCTACTAGATTTCATCTCAAATGATCAAATCTTATTTAACAATTTTTTCAAATACTAATTAAGGTTCTGTTGTATTGACTAAAAATTAATAATTCTTTTTTTTTAAAATATTATATTGAGACTATTATTAAGAATTCTCATGGATCACATTGCACTATATGTTACATAAAAAGGAAAAATCTTATTGCAGACAATTTTAAGTGTTAACTTATTTAGTGTAGTTTTTTTTCACTAAAGTTATAACTAATTTCACCTGAAATTTTACCTTTATCAATATGCTTTGATATGAAGACAATAGTAAAGTAAAATTTACTAAAGTTATAACTAAATTAGTCAAAATTTGCATATCACGAAATTAATGAAGGACTAAAGCAATTTTATAATATATCGATAGCAAAATGATATCTCAATACACATGGTGTAGACGGTAAAATCTACCTGAAATGTCGTGAGGATGATCTTACGGGGAAGAGCCACTGACAACCCTGTAAACCTGCAAATAGAGAAAATAATGAATGTGAAGCTCATGGGGGACACTAGTGTGGTGTCAACCGTAGACACTTCTACGCTCAAGTTAATACAGTTGTGGGATATTTAGTAAGGCTGAGAGGGAGAAAGAGTTTATCGGAAGTGTGGTGGGACTTATCGGCGTAGACGTAGAGTGATCGGAACTCAGCTCTACAGCGATTATTGACGTAGAGTGGTCAGAACTCGACTCTACAGTAGGGAAAGGCGACAGTTCTTGGGAGCAAGAATTTTAGTAGCTAAAGAGAGGAATTGTATCTCCCTCTCTAATGAGAGGGCTTACCACTATTTATATAGTGAGCCAATGAAGCTTGAGTCCTTGTAGAACTAGGTGTTCTTGTTAGAGTAGGTGTCCTAGAGCCAATCAATTATTGTAGAAGTAATTCTTTGTAATAATGTTTATTTATCAATAAAATGCATTTTCTTCTATATCGTGTAAATCGTAATTGTATGTATTGATATATGTCCTTATGGTGGTAGAACCATGACAAGAGTATCAAATACTTCAAATTTTGATAGTGAGAATACTATGATCACATATGGTGACCATTCTAGAAATGTTTGTAGCCCCAATATTATTTTGACCAAGGACATAGATAATATGGTAAGGCTATCATAGTGTTGAACAACCTTGTCAAAGGATAGGGACTGATCTCACTTGTCAATGTTGTTTGCCGACAACCTAGTGCAACACATTGGTGCTTACTATAGGTAAGTTCACTAGACAGACCCACAAGAAAATTCCATATGGATGGTAATCCCAATGTCTATGGAATAAATCCTCTAACGAATGATGGTGCATGTGATCCTTAGACTTAAGATCACCGGAGCACCTTGTGCACCAATTGGTGTAGTTTGACACTAGCCCAATGTAAATCTATTCAGAGCTATCAGAATGGTAGTGATTGGCTACATCAAGGAGTGTATCAAGACTATGGTGAGTCGACAAATGATTCATTACTCCCAAGTACGGGAGAAGTGATCTCACTACGTAATTCAGCAAATGGCAATGATACTAAATCTGTGACCATAGTGAGATTGAGTTGTTACTCAATCCAATTTATTATTTTGGTCATTGGTCCAGTAACTAAATACAAAGATATCAAAGATATCTGAGATTGACACTATTTATGTACCTCAACCTTGATGAGATAACATATAATGAAAGGATTTGATTGCACAGTAACCTTATCGTTAATAGATAGTTATTTCATTGAATCCGAATCTATGAGGTGGTCATGATGCCTTGCTAGGAGTCAATCTTGGTCTGTGTGTAGTGAGACGATTGATTGGTGTCAATTTGCGATACTACTCACTATCGATATGATAAGGAGCTAGCCTATGGGTCACACACTTAGAAGATAATTTAAGGATCAATAAAAAACATGAAAGGGGTATTTTCATCTTTTAGGACAAGAGGATATTTTGGTAATCTCACAGTATAATTAAATATGTTAAGGTTGTTGTCTGTATTTAATTTTAATATTGAAATTAAAATTAGTGAGATTATATTTAAATATATATGCGCATATATTTAAATGGATTATTGTTATTATTTAATGTTAATATACATATATATATATATATATATATATATACTGATTTTAATAATAATAATAATTAATTAATTAATTAAAATACCAAGTTGGCTTGTTTGGTTGCAAGGATGGATCAATATGAGAAGTCATGGAGATTCCTAATGGGATTAGGGTTTTAATTAAGTTGCACTATATAAGTGAAACTTAAATTAAAACATAAAGAATTAATTCATTGAATTGAAAAACCCTAGCCACCTAATATACCCTACACGTTTTCATCAAGTTTGGTGGAGAGAAAAAAAAAAATCATTTTTTATTCTTGAAGCCATCAAGTAGATCTAGCAATTCTCTTCTTGGTTCTACGGATTATCTTCGTATGGATCAACGTTCCTGCGATTCCATACTCAAATAGGTAGCGAAATCAAGTCTTTGAAGGAGCCTCCAGATGCAGGTATAAACAAATCCTTGTTTGGATTTTATTGTTTCAATTTAAGCATATATATATAAGACCCCTGATCTTGGCAAAATCAGGTGATCGATAAATGAAAATGTTTGTTTTTCTGCTACCATCGTTCATTGATTACTAACAGTGGTATCAAAGCCTAGGATTTTTATAATATATATTTTAATTATATTGTTTTGATTGATTACCTATATTGATTGCTAGAATTGCATGTTTAGGTTTTTTTAATCTGTTAAATTGCTTAAATTGATTAATGCATGTATTGAATTTGTTGAGGACTTCATATTGGATCGATTTTGTATTAACGCACGTACGAACAGTGTTCTAGAATTGCGATTTGCAACGCGGCACAATTCTGTTGTGCCATGGCGTCGAGCTTTGTAAACCTAGAATGCACAAACAGGCCACGGCGAAATAATACTTGGCCATGGCGTGATCACGGGGTAATCTGAGTGACTATACCGCACAAATAGGCCGCGGCGAAATAAAACTTCATTGCAGCATGATGACGTTGTGTGATCGTGAAATAGTACGAGTTGAACTGCAGGGAAATAAAACTTTGCTATAGCGTGAAAGCATCGTAAAATCGCGCAGTGCGCAATGTGGGACGCGACGTAATAAAACTACATCGTGGTGTGAAAGTGACAAAGTAGCACGTCAAATCATAAAATTGCATGATCTCGTCGCAGCATAATAAAACTATGCCACGATATGAAGGCGTCGTCAGATAGCATGAGTTGTTGGATTTGTGCCTCGGCGTAATAAAACTTCGCCGCGGTGCATATTCGTTCCTTCGCATCGCCGCGACATAATAAAACTATGCCGTGGCATGAATGTTACTGTATGTCTTATTTCTTGTTGTAATGCAATGGGACTTAAGTGTAGCATTTTAAAAGTTCTGGACCAATAATAATTCTGTAAATTCAAAAGGGTAATTTTATAATTCAACCCACACAATTCAAAATTGATTGTTTTGAATGTATGCAATAATTCTTGTTTGAAAAATTACATGGTGCTTGGTACATAAGCCTTAGACCTGTGGTGAATGTTTTAATATATTTTTGGGTATATATGGTTGTAAATATTTTAAATAGGGCCTGTGTGCTCTGCCTTTCTCCTCCCTTCTCGATGTACATTCTTTCTCTTCTCATCTTATTCCCCTTGAATGTAACTCGAGATTTCTAAATTTATTGATGTAAAATTAGTATAGTGTTAATTTCATTATAAATTTAGTATGATGTAATTTGTAATGTACTTGAAGATAGAGCAAGGATGAAGCAATCATACTTGAAGACTCAAGATATTATTACAGGATTCCTAGGTGACCTGCCGATTCCTCTAGGCTCGAGGAAATCGGTTTTAGTTAGGCCATGTATTGGCACATTTCCTTAAATGCTTAGAATGCATGCTAAGGGTGTATGTTATGACTATAACATGCTAATAAAGATAAAACTAGCAAGACGTAAACTAAAAACCCTCAAATAAAGTATATTAAGTCAAATGTACATCTTCCATCACCATGGATTTAATCAAACC